ATACTGAGACCCTGTTTCAAACAAAATAAAACCCCCCAAACAAAAACAGATCAAAGACAGAACCCATTAGCTCTTCAATTGGAACTTAAAATGTGGTTCTGTTTTGGGAGAACCTTTTTGTGTGTGTGGTGCTGGGATGGGACCCAGGGCCTTCACACTGGCCTGTGTTCCCAGCCCTTTTTTTGGTACCAGCAATTGAACTCAGGACCTTGCACTTGCCAGGCCGGTGCCACTGCCTCTGAGCTATATCCCCAGCCTCCTGCAACCCTTTTTTATTTTGAGACAGTCTCATTAAATCTCTAAATTGCCCAGGATGGGCTAGAACTTGCCATCCTCCTGCCTCGGCCTCCTAAGTGCTGGGATCACAGGTATGAGCCACCACGCCAGGCTCTTCACCGTGATTTTTATTTTTATTTATTTATTTTTCACTGTGATCTTTAAAGTAAAGGATTTTCAAAGCAGCCCCACAGAGTGTGGACAAGGCGGCGGTTCTCAGTACTGACAGGTCAGAAGTCGCCCAGTGGCAGTGAATGTGAGGCCAGCAGGAAGCCGCCGTCCTGACTTGCTGTGCTCTCGGTGACAACTGTACCCTCCCTGGCCCGTGGCTGTCAACCTGCGGGCACAAGAGTGCTCAGGGAGCCCTGCAGGCTGTGGCTCTATAATTACTCCTTGGGCGAGAGGACAGTTGATCCCTTGCGCCTGCCCGGCGGGGGCCACTCCAGCGGTGACCTAGTTCCTCAGCTCTAACCTGCCCCCGCTGGCCTGCCCTGTCATCTCCTCCACAGGGGGTTGGTGGGGACCAGGGACTGGCGGCTGGAGCATGGGTCCCCCGGGGGGAGGGGCTGCTTCCCACCCTCAGGCCTCCCTTGCTGTGTGGCTGGAGGGCGCTTGCCTGGCCTCTCTGGGCCTCTCGCTCCTGGGCATTTGTTGGTGGCTGTCTTGGGTGGAGAGCAGGGAGGGAGGTCACAGCAGGAAGCAGACTTCTCTGCCAGACCCTCTCACCCTCGGATGAGGGCAGAGCACCTCTCTGCACTGCTTTCCCACTAGAGCCCGGGACCTCATGAGGAGGGTTCAGGCGGCCAGGACCCCAGCTCCTGATTGGGTGGGGCCTGGATTCCAGTTTGCCTGGTTCTATTTTTATTTATTTATTTTTGGTACCAGGAATCAAACTCAGGACCTTGCACTTGCCAGGCAGGTGCTGTGCTACTGAGCTATATCCCTGGCCCTCTGTTTTTGTTTTTAAGGTCTCACTATGTAGTCCAGGCTGGCCTTAATTCACTAGGTAGCCCAAGTTGCCCCCCCACCCCAAATTCATAGAGATCCTCCTGCCTCAGCCTTCCAAGTGCTGGCATTACGTGTATACATCACCATACTCAGCTACTGGATTCCAGTCTGAACTGCTCTTCTGGTATAAGGACACTGTATCCACAAGACCTGAAACCAGGCAGAGTGGTTCATACTTGACAACCAAGCTGCACAGGAGGCTGAGGCAGGAGGATCACAAGTTCAAGCCTGGGCAACTTAGGGACTGATTGAGACCCTGTCTCAAAATAAAAAATAAAAAAAGGCTGGGGATGGAGCTCAGCGCCAAGGCCCTGGGTTCCAGCCCCACTTGAAGCCAAAGAGAAAATCAGGCACTTGCAGGTTGGGAAGCGCGGGCCAGGAGAGGGCGCTGCAGGGGCAAAGGCGGGGAGAACGGGTCCGCCGACGGGAAGCGCGGGCAGGGCCAGGTGGTCTCCTGTCTTCCGGGTCTCTGTCCCGCACCCGCTCCCGCGTGACCCGGTGGAAGGGACCCGCCTGCCGTCTCTCGCTCGGTCCCCCTTGGGCGCCTCCTGCTGGCCTCTCGAGACCTGACAGCATCTGTTCCCTGCCCTAGCTCGCCGCCAGCTCTCGGCCCTGTGCCCGACCTCTGAGCTCTTGACCTGGGGTCTCTGCGGTGTCCCCGCTGTCCCCCAGGATGGGCCACAGTGTCGCAACCTCAGCCCCAGAAACACTGAGCCATCCCCAGCCCCAGCCTCCCGTGCCTGTAGCCCCAGCCCATCTGTCACAGCCACCTCCAGCTGCGTCCCAGGCGCCACAGGGGCTGAGCAGAGTCCCTGGCCTCCCCCGCCTGCCTGCCCATGCCAGGAGCTCCGCCACTCGTGACAGCCACACATGTCCCCAGACACGGCCCCGTGTACCCTGAGGGGCAGAGCTGTCCTCAGGCGGCAGTCCCCGCTGGGGGGAGCACTGGCCCAGAGCCCGCATCGGGTCGATGCCCCGGATGAAGCAGGAGGAGTCCACCCCATACAGAGTGGGAGGCAGAGCCCAGAGAGGGCAAGCGCATGCCCAGAGCCACACAGCAGGCGGAGCAGTTGCAAATCCCACCTCACATCCTGCGGCCTGTGTTCCTTCCCTGGCTGCCCGGGACAGGACCCCCGTCTTCCAGGGGAGCCTGACTTGGTTGTTGTTGTTTTTCTCTGTTTAGACAGGGTCTTGCTGTCCAGTCCAGGCTGGACCCGAACTCACTATGTAGCCCAGGCTGGCAGCGATGCTCCTGCTTCAGCTTCTCCAGGGCTGGGATCGCAGGCCTGTGCCACCATGCCCTGCTCAGTGGGAACCTGGGCTTCTGCCTGCTCTGCCAAGCAGGAGCTGCTGCTGGCTAAGTGGGGGAGGCCTCCACGCAGAAGCTTTGGGATCAGCAAGCCCAGCATGGGCTGGCTCGGGTAACGGGGGGTGGAGGAGGGAGCTGGGACCGGCCTAGCACCCCTCTCCGGCTGCCGCAGCTGAACGGCCAGGACCGAGTCTTCTGGAATTCCAGTCCTGAGCTAAAGCCCCAAACCGCAGCCTGTGCAGCCAGTGCCCCGGCTACTCTGCTCTCCAGACAGGGAAACTGAGGCTCGGGCACGTGCACGCCTGGCGTTCCTCAGAACGGGACAACAGCAAGGAGCAAAGCCAAGATCCCGTCCTCACAGAACCTACGGTTGGCAAAAAAGCACACTGCTATGACTGCTAGGCAACAGGGGACAGCTGTGTCCCTGGGGAGTGTCACCCCCTTCCCCCGCACCCTGCCCAAGGAAACAAGGATGAGCCACCACGGAACAGGCGCAAAGCCAGAGCCGGGCGCGGTGGCCCAGGCCTGTCATTCCGGTACGCTGGGAGGCTGAGGCAGGAGGACTGCAAATTTGAGCCCAGCCTGGGCAACTTAGTGACGCAGTGGGACCCTGTCTCAAGATAAAAAATAAAAAGGGCTGAGGATGGAGCTCAGTGTGAAGGCCCTGGGTTCCATCCCCAGTATTGAAAAAATAAAATAAATAAAATAGCCCACCTCAGGGCTGGTAGCCATGAAGCTTCCTGTCTCCTTCCCTCCCAGGGCTGCTGTGTGTGTGAGCTCAGACCCTGCTCGGCTCCGGCCTCCAGTGTGTGCACTGCTGGGCCTTGGGGGTCCAGGAAAGGACAACCCGTGCTTCAAGGACACAGGCTCATTACCATGCAGGAGCGGCTGCCATGGAGGGGGCAGGGCAGCAGTGGCGTTGGCCACAGAGGGAGGCGGGTGCTGGGCCTGCACGGACCCTGGCACCCCCGACCGCACTGGTCCCGATGTCCCCCACCCCAGCGTGTGCCGCCCTGAGCAGGTGCGGGGTCACTGTGGCATTCCAGCCCTCTGCCCTGTGCCAAGTGCTCTGCTCAGAGCTGTTCCAGGGGTGTACCGGGGACAGGCTACCGCTAAGCTGCACCCCAGTGATGATTTTTTTTTTGTTTTTCTCCGGTACTGGGAATCGAACTCACGACCTTGCGCTTGCCAGGCAAGCGCTTTTTTTGCTGCTGAGCTAAATCCCCAGCCCCTATGATTTTTTTTTTTTTTTGAGATAAGCTCTTGCAATGTAGTTCAGGCTGACCTCAAACTCCTGGCGATCCTCTTGCCTCAGCCTCCTGGGTGCTTTTTAATTTTTTTGTGGTGCTGGGGATTGAACCCAGGGCTTTTGCACTGAGCTCCTGTCCCAGCCCTTTTTATTTTTTATTTTGAGACAGAGTCTTGCTAAGTCACACAGTTGCCCAGGCTGGGTTTTTTTAAAAATTTTTTATTTTTTTTTTTTCCGGTACTGGGAATTGAACTCACGACCTCACGCTTGCCAGGCAGGCGCTGTGCCACTGAGCTAAATCCCCAGCCCCCTCAGGCTGGGTTTAAACTTAGGAGCCTTCTATCTAAGCCTCCTAGAGTGCTAGGATGACAGGTCTGATCCTTCACACCAGTTCAAAAAGCATTCAGTGTGCGCCTGCTGTATACCTGGTGCCATTCTCACTGAACAAAACGCAAAAGCCCTGCCGCTGTCTACTGGAGCAGAAGCGGGGAGGCCCACTGTCACACAGAGGCCGGGCTGTGAGAGGGCAGTGAGCGGGGGGGAAAAGGAGCCTGGGCTGGCAGAATTGTGGCTCCCAAAGATGTCTGCATCCGAATGCTGAGAGCTGTGGCCCTGTCACGCACCACCTGCAGCTGGGCTAGGTACGGACCCTGAGGAGGGCCATCCTGACCATCGGGCGCAGTGGCTCCCACAGTGGGTGCGGAAGAGAGGGTGAAGATGCGGCACTGCCGGCTCTGCAGGTGGGGGAAGGGGCTACAAGCCAAGGGCTGCGGGCGCTTCTGGGAGCCGGGTTGGGGACTGGGTTCTCACGAGTGTCAGGAGGAGCAGCCCTGCCACCTGCGCCTGGACTCAGCCCCGGGAGTCCATGTTGGCCTCTGACCCCAGGGCCGTGAGATACAAATACGTGTGCTGCCGCCCTCCGAGTGTGGGTGACTTTCTGGAGCAGCCTGGGACTCTTGCTGGCCGCCACCACTTGGGAACGGGACGGGGGCAGAGGCATCTGTGTCTCTGCGGGGCGGAGGAAGGCACATCCCTGTGGGGCCTGGAGCCTGACATCTACATCCGGCCCAGGCCACAAGCCTCCCAAACCTGTCCTCCATGGGGTCTGGGCTCCAAGCCCCCTCCCATCCATTTCAGCCCCTGCTCCCCAAGGTTCCCCGGACGCATCCCCCTTCCTGTCCCTTGTCAGGCCAGGGGGTGCTGCCACCCAGCCCATCACCCAAGGAGGAGAGGCTGAAGCCATGGTGGTGGAGGACACAGATACTGGCTGTCCTTCTGTCCCCAGGCCCACGGTGACCCCAGCCTCCGCCCCTGCCACACTCAGCCCCAGCTCAGCGTCTGAGGCGGTGCGGAACACAGGGGCCAGCCTCCCACAGCACCGCCTTTCTGGGGCACACTTTTGGGGACACACTGTTGCTCTCAGAGGCCCACTTTTGGGGACGCACTGCTGCCCCCCAGGACTGGCGCGTCCTCTGCCCTAGATCTAGGCCCTCCTGGGGTTTTCAGCCATGACAATTCATTAAGCCCTAATTAGTCTCCATCTGCTATTACTCCCTGTCAGCCCTTTGGGGGGCGGGGGCCTCCCGACCCACTTTTTCCTGGCAGCCGGTGCGCAGGGGCTGCCGTTCACCTTCGGGGGGCCCTAGGCTGGGGAGCACTTTTTCAGAGCCTCCTGTGTACTGCAGCCGCTCACCCACCGGGGCCAGGGACGGACAGTGAAATTCACCGTGGAGAAAAGGACGCCGAGGGGCTGAGCGGACCCCAGCTCGCTCAGGGTTCCTCCGCTGCGCAGAATCAGCGCAGATCCCGCATCTGACGCCTGCTCCTTTCCACAGAGTCCCAGCGCCCCGCTCCCCCCGGGCCCACGAGCGCCATGTGGGGTGGTAGGCGGCTTGCTGGGGCCCACCCGAGACGAGCCTGGCTCCCGCCGTCCTCGGAGAGGTGCTCTGGCGGGTGGGGAGGCGGTGACTCAGGGGTGCCGGGGGTGACGGTGCTGTGGGAAGGCACATCCAACCTCAGCCCAGATCCGCTTTCCGTTCCCACTCCGCCGGGTGCCTTGGGGTGCGGGGCCTGATCCGGGGGTGCACAGCAGTGCCTACCCGCATCGTGCAGATGAGAACCCCAGAGCCCGCATGCGTGAGCGTATGAGCGTCTGCGGCGAGGGCTGTGCCGGGCTTGGTGACCGGTCTCGCCCCATCCTCGGTTCAGACGGGGGCGGCTGCCCCACAGCCCCAGGGGGGACAGGAAGTGGACAGGCAGCCGGGGGGGCTGGGTCCAGCCCTCCTGAGCCTGGGTGTCCCCACCCGGTTACCCCACACATACGGGTCCTTGGAGGAGCTGGGTGAGCAACGCAGGGACCCCTTGGGGTCTCCGGTGGCTCTTGCTTTGGCTCAGAGGGGGACCCCATTACCCTAGTCCCGAGAGCCCCAACTTTGAGAACCCGTTTCCAACCTGCAGCATCGCCGCGCGTCACCCCCAAGCTGGCTGCTTGCTTCTCCGAGCAGCGGTCTTGCTGCTCCCTCGGCTCCGCTGTCCCCAGAAGTCCTCCCACCAGGCCCTGGACGGCTCTCCTGTTAGGGTCACCGCACCAGACCCCCACCCGAACAGCTGGGCTCACTGGGGGCTACGGGTTAAACATGCAGGCTCCAGGGCCCTGTCCCCCAAAATTCCCATTCCTCGGGATTTGGCGGGGAAGCTGCACCTCAGCGCCCCGGGCCGAGTATGGACACCCGCTTGTGAGGGGTCTGTGGGCACCGAAGGACCTGAATTTCCTTGTGCCCAAATGAGGCAGAAGGTGCTGCCCCCCCAACTTGTTGAATGGGGCTCGCAGCCCCCCAGCCCCAACCAGACCCAGAGGCCCCGGGGTACCCAGGCCCGGCGTCGGAGATGGACAGAGCCCCCCGCGCTCCGACACAGGCCCGCAGAGCAGGGCTGAGCCCCGCACCCCGAATCCCCGCTCCAGCTCGGTAGGCTGTAGGCTCCGGCGCCGCCGACGCCGCCGATCGGTGCGGACTCCAGACGCCAGACACCCCGCTTGCCTTTCTGCCGGGCGCCCCCAGAGCGGTGGGCGCCGGGCGGTGCGGGCTGAGGGCTCCTTCCCACGCCGGGGTCCTGCGTCCCAGCCAGCGTCCCCACGGACAGGGGCGCGTCTTCCCCCGGGGCCCCGCAGCCTCGGGGGGCGCCCGCCCGGCTCCCTGCTCCTCCGCGTCCTCCCCAGGAGGGGCGCGGGGACCCTGCGCGGGGATGGGTCCCCGAAGTTTCCGGGGGAGCGCCGGGGGCCTGCGGAGAGGGCT